TTAAATTAATTGAAATCTAACCTTAAAATTCAAAGTTAAATTAATTGAAATTCAACTTTAGAATTCAAGGTTAAATTAATTAAAATTTAATCTTAAAATTCAAAGTTAAATTTCTTCACGGCAGGTTCTTTACATGCATTTAAAGAAGAAGAGGATTTAATCAAATTACCTTGGGCCACGGCCGTCGTCCAAGATCTCCACCTCTGTTAGGTCGATGCTGTTGTAATTCAGCTTCAATTTGCCTTTGTATACGGGTCTCAAGTCCGGATGCAGTATCACGTATCCGTTGTTGGACACGATAAAGGCGTATCCATTCACGCCTAGCTTGTATGGCAACGTGAGCTTTCGGATGTCGTCAATTGGTACATCCGTGCCCGCCACACCTAGTAGATTCGCTATTCTTGTCCGATTGTTGCGATTCCCTTTGCGATCGAACACCGGCGTGCTGACGGACGTCAGGAGCCTGTACTCCTGCCAGGCTGTCGTACTCAACAGGGATGCATCCTGCCGGACGTCCTCGTCCTTGTGAAGCTGTTTGACGTGGAACTCCATTACTTCACATGTTGGCGAACACACGTACGTTCAATTTGTCTGTTCTCTCTACGTGTACATTAGATGTTACGGATGTGTCTTACGGATCGATTTATTAATTACGATCTGCATGCAGAGGGAATGAGAGGAACTGCAATATCTGTGGGAAAAGGTGATCTGCTTCAACACTCGGATCTTTCGGGATAGAAGAGGAGCAGGAGTGAAAACTGAAAAAAAAAAAAAGAATAATAAAGGTGTCTGGCTGGTGACAATTATTATTATGCAGGATATTTAGGTCTAAATCCACCTATTTGGACGATACTACTATTTTTTTCTACGATCAGGCTAAAAAAATGCCAGGAGGGAGGCAACGCATCGAGCACGATAAGGCAGCTTTAAAGCTACTTAGGGGTGATTGTTGCTTTCTTTGAACCTGCTGTATGTAGATATCGTCCTCATTTACTCGCAAGCCCAGACGTTTCCCTTTCAGATGTTTCTCAAGCCGCGATTGTTGCTCCGCGTGCTGCATCACCAGCCACAACCAAATGGCGAGTGCTGGATTCTAATGACGGAATGCGAGTCAGAAGGTTTACAGAACTGGGGACACTATATTCTGCAAAGCTCAAAGCTCAAAGAGAAGAAACAAGTGGCACGGATGTTCTTTTACCCACAATACTCCTTCGAATACCTAAGATTATCTAGTAGCTCAACTATTCATCCTAATTCTGACAACTCTGATTCTGAATCACTTACAGGTCGATTGCTGATGTATTATGCAAGTTACATCTGTTACACAATGATTAATTAATTTCATCAGTCGCACGATGACTGTCTCGTACCGTAATGTCTGCATATGCGTGGGTCCAAACGACAGGGTGTATCACTTCCTGGAGAACCATGGGTCGTGCGACCACGGGTATATATTTCAACACCTGTTCCCGGACTTCCTCCAACGTGTGAACATGCGTGTAATAGCCGCGATTTAGACAAGCCATCCATTGGATTTCGCGGACTTTCGTCACTTCTTTACCAAGAAGATACGTGAACACTCGCACGGGTATGTGAGTGTCATTGTCTCGCCAGTTCCACGTTCTGAATACCTGAAATTACAAATTATGCATAAAACTAATAGACGACCTACGAAATTACAGATTATGCATAAAACTAATAGACGAGTAAGGATGAAAATGGGAATCGGAAGAGGAAGTAATTGGCTGCAATGGCATTCGGAATGCCACGTATTGACATTCATCGTCGATCACGCTTTTTCGAAACGCTGCGCTGGCAAGAATGTGATAAGGAGACGAAGAAAGCAGCCGCTATACGTAATAACGTAGATAACTGTATAGAGATAGATACGTAAGGAGTAAGAAGGATGAACAAAGATAAACGAGAGAGAAGATAATGA